TGTTTGTTACAAAATTTGGTATTCATTTTGAGGATAACTTTGAGGATACAATTTAGGATCAATTTAGGACCAATTCCGTAAATCCGCCGATATGGAGTACAATAGTCATGGCGCAAAAATTTGACATTCGAGCTGATCGGTGCTTCAAATCGGCCTTGCACAAGATCTTCATCCAATCATATTTTATGAAAAAATTTCCGAGCCTAAGTTTGGCCCGGGTGGCCCGATGATCACGGTACCGGCAAATTTTTGCGCCATTACTACGTATGCAACCCAGTAACAAGCAGAATTTATTATGGTGTGATTAAGATATATATCTGTTATAGATTCCGTTATATTGCGTATATAATTATTATATATATTATATACAATAAAATAAAATTACTTAGAAAAGTTACTGTATATAACAAATAATACGTACGTATCATACCTATAGTTACAAATAGAAATCCACTTTTATTTAATTTATAACACTTTTAGCCTGGTTTGGGTTCAAAAAGAATAATCCTGAGTATTATATACTCTAATAACAACTCTATACAAAATAATAATCCTTACTTTCACATTATTTACTATGTAATCAACTTCATAATATATGAATTTACTTAAAAGTATTTTTTGGCTTTTCTGATTGATAACTTATAACCCAACATTTTAGTTTCAAATTTTTTCATTACTGCCTCTGAATTACCAATCTTTGGTTAAAGTTTAATCACTAAATAGTGGAATTTATTATCAACCAATTTAATTATAAAGCGAGGTTATCTGTACTACAATAACTATCAAACCACAAATAACGATGGCAATTCTTACATACTTGACTTCTATAAATGCACTTTTCTCATTATTCTCTAAGTACACGTCGTTAAAATGTGGTCTCGATGGTGTGCATTTAGAGAGGTCTGACGTGGCTTTAACATTTTAGATAATCGTAGTTATTATAAGTTACTGTGTCTTACATCGTTCAGTTGTTCCTGCACAAAGATCATTGTGATATAAGAAGATGCAAGGATGTGATCATTTTCAATCATAAGAACGGACCAATGTTTCCATGTAGCACCTTTTCGTTCTGGTTATCACACCTGTACATTATCCATCTCAGTTCTACCAATTGCGTACTGATGATTAAAGTTATATTTACATTTAAGAAAACAATTTGGTATTATAAATACGTATATAAATCGCTAATTAATATGTAAAAACAAAATAAAGATAAAAAAAGTAAAATTCATAATAAGTATTAAAAAGAAAATTTCGCAAGTAAAATTTTAAATCCTGTTAATGTAAAACTTGAAAACTAAAATACAAAATTCTTATAAAGAATTTTACGAAATTACAATCGAAATATACATTATTTTGTGTTAAAACATTATTAATATATATATTTCAAATGTGGTACGAGATTATCTGACCAAAACTTCGTATATATTGTTTGATCAGAGTTTACATGTCACATAAAAGTATAATTTAAAAAGTCCAACAGTAAAAAATTAGGTAGTAAAAGATTAGTAAATGTCTGTTAATGCTGGTATCCTTGAATTCAACAATTCAACATGCATATCCGATATTTGATTTTATTATTTTGACATCTTGGTCACTTGTGCATACATCTGTAAAGCGTGAACAATATGATCTGGATCAAGTGCAAGTGCATCTCCGAGCTCTTCAAGAACACGAGCAAACCTTCCAACTTTCTTAAGATATAAAGTTGATATCGCATTCTAAAAGATTAAAAGACGAAATTTTAATAATTGTTCTGCTACATCACATAATAAATATATATATACCTCAATCCTTGTAATCAGACTCTCCATTATCCTCATTAACACTTCATCATCAGCATTATCCCTGACATGGGATGTTAACAATCCTGCCAAATGATCTATTTTTGAATTTCGAGAAGTACGATGGCTTACATTGCCAGATACCACACGTTCAAGACGAAGACAAAGAAATTCAAGCTTGCGTACACATTGAGAAGTTGTAATTGGTTCATAATTCTTTATTATGAAAAAAAAACCAAAAAGTTATATCACCTTTAAAATATCATATAAAATATATATAAAGAGTGTGTAACCGAATATTTACTTGAACACCTTTTATGGAATTCCTAGATTTCGATATATTCTTATTTAATCTACCTTTAAGCCTTTCCGGATAAACCTATAACAAAAACATTCTCCATTTAAGCATGCTAAATAAATAATTATGCTTCATAAATTGAAAACACTTACTATCGATAGTATTTCTGCATTTTCTAATCCCTTAAGTTTTCTCTCGCCAATTTTAGTTATAACGAAGCCCATATTCTTCAACTCCTTCAAATTTTCTGCATTCTTATCCAAACCACTACTAGATGACCCCTGCGCTTCATCATCACCTCCAATGCTATTTTTCCTATCAGAATCATCCATGAAACCATTAATTTCTGACTGTACATCAGCACTCACGCAAATTTGCCCACCATCCGCCGCATTACAAATTCTTGCAGCTTTATTAACCATAGGTCCGAAATAATCCATTCTCTTTGTTATTATATCCCTTTCGCAATCTGGGTTACCCCAATGTATACCCATTCGAACTGATAAACCTTTATAGATCAATATATGATTATCATTATCATTATCAATATCATTATCATTATCAATATAAAAAACTTCTTTTCCATCCTCTGAATCAATAATTTCTTGTGGCCAATGAGCTTTTAAAAGTTCGATTTGTACAGTAAGACACCATAAAAGAGCTGATGCTACTGTCGGAAAAGATACCATAAAGGCATCTCCTTCAGTTTTTACTTCATAGCCACCAATTTTACGTAGACAGCGGCGCATGATTTTATTATGAGATTTAATTGCAGAACGCATTGCTTCTGGTTTTGTTTCCCAGAGAAATGTAGAGTTCTTAATATCAGTAAAAACTAGCGCTACTTGTCCTACTGGAGGCTCAATTTCTTCTCCTAAATCTGTCGATATTTCTTCTCTTCTTCTTCTACTAACAAAAAATTTTATTGTACCTACATCATCTATTCTATCGGACCCTTTTATCCTCTTAGAGAGACGGCGGTCAAATAAATCTCCAACCCCTATAATCATTACCATGATATTTTGATCAGCACCGTAGGAAATAGCGAAATCTCGCAGTTTTTGAGCAGCTAGCATGAGATTATTCTTTTCTGTTCTAGCTATAGTCACCGCAAGTTGATAGCTTACATAATTCCATAATTCTCGAGTAGCAAGAATTAAAAGTTCGTCTTGTTCTGAGAGTTGAACTACCTCTGTCACAGGATTAGCATTGATAATTGGTGTTAAATGAAAATGTCCAAATGACCGAGATACATCCAGTTCCCCATTGACAAGGCAATCATGTGAAATATATCCTCCAGCTTGCTTTATTCTTTCAATTTCACTAAAAATTTCTGGACATTGTGCAATCGGATATGCTTTTGTTTCTTTACCACTGATTCGACGACTGATAACTGCCACAGTATCACCAACATTTGCAATATATAATGTTGTTCCAGAAATATAAGCAACTAACCCAGAGGCGCCAGACTTATTATCAACAATACCTAGTGGAGAGTGGTGATATCCGCTTTCTGTCATTTCCATGCTTGAGTTGAAGACCTTTGAACCAAGTTCCTTATTTAAACTCAAAAAAGACCTTCGCAAAGCAGGCTCTACCAAATCACCGTCTCTTAATTTATTGAGCTCAGTTTCAAATTGGAACAGGAACCAATCGTGTAGATATTTAGTAACTCGAACACCTTGATCGGAGCCGGCGCGAGCATTAAAAAGCCCAAAAATACACTCATCTTCACGTCCACGAAACTTTGGCGTTACAGATTCCCAAATTGAAAGATTATCAGACTTTCCTAGTGTATCTGCCATACCATATCGCATAGAATTTACTACTGAGGCTGAAGTCCGAACGCGACGATTATCAGTTTCTTCAGGAAGCAAAAAATTTAAAAGTGTTATATCCATAAGACCAAGAACTCTCAAATCAGTAAGGTTTTCAAAGTCTGTTAAATTCCGATTTCTTTGAAGCGGGTTGATTTCATTTTGATGTACATATTTTATCTCGAACCTTTTATTACCTGAGAGATTGAGGTATTTAAGTTCAAGATTCCAGTTCCAATTCCAATCGTATTGCCAATTCGCAATATTATATTTTAACAAATTATTCCCTACGTCAAGAATTACCAACTTTCTTATTTTACTCAATTCTGCGGGCAATGTTGTTAGTCTATTGCCGTTTATGTGTAGAACACTCAGATTAGTTAACTTCTCTATATCTTCCGGAAGCGATGATAATTGATTCCCAGAAAGATACAATTCAGTTAAATGGGAATTTTTAGAAAGTTTTCCTGAAGGAATTTCATCTAAAAAATTAAATGAGATATTCAAAATTTTGAGCTCAGAAAATAAAGAAATGATATTAAATATTCCAGCAGTAAGATCGTTATCGCCTAGGTACAGAGCGCGAAGTGAGTGAGCGAGTGGAGGAGGATCGTTCGACGAAGTGGCTGGAGGTGCTGGAAATTGCTCTAATAAATTTGAACTAACGTTTAAATTGGCTAAACTTCGGCAAAGCCAAATCTCTTGTGGTAAAGAAACAAGCTGGTTGAAATGAATGTCCAATGTATATAAAGAGACTAAAGAACAAATTTCACTTGGCAACGTGCGAAGAGTATTACATATACATGTTAAATGTGTTAAATTCGTCATCAACCCAATTGTCGTTGGGATCGATGTTAACTCATTATTACGAAGATCAAGCTTTTGAACAGATAAAAGGTGCTCGAACAGGTCATTTTGTAATGCAAGAAGTTTTGCATTTGCCAATGAAAGTTCTATTAAAGACAAATTTGTTTCCTTCAACGAGAAATGAGTAAGTTGATTTTTAGACAGAATAAGTTTTTGCAGTTTTTGCAATGATTTTGAAGATATATCCACCGTTGATACATTGTTGTATTCGGTCAGAAGAATTTCAAGGTTGGGAATCAAAGATATAGTGTCAAGACTCGTTATCTGATTTCTACGTATATCCAATTCTTGCAATGAAATTAGATTTTGAAAACTTTTAGGTAATTTATCTGTTATTTGATTTCCAACGAGGAACAACTTTTTAAGGTTGACAAGTTTTTCGATTTCTTCTGGTATAGAAGTTATTTTATTATAACTTAAGTCCAGTTCTGAAAGCGTCACAATAGTGCAAATAACTTGAGGAAAGACTGAGAACGAATTGTTGGCAACATTCAAAGTATTTAATTTGGTAAAGGCAGTAAATTTCTCGGGTAATCCCTGTAACAAATTGTTTTCAACTTGAAGATTTGTTAGTTCCCCAATCATTTCTAATGATCCATGTTCCAAATCTTTCAAGCGGTTCGAATTTAGATTAAGAAAAGAAAGCATCTCTGATTGTTTAATTGATTGTGGAATACGCTCCAAGTCATTTTGTGAAAGATTGAGATCACGTAACTGTGTGCAAGATTGTATAAAATCCATAGGAAGGTCGAGCATTAGATTTTGTGAAACATTTAACGATCGAATATTATAAGCTTGTCGATAAAGAAATATAGGTATTGTCTGTAAATTGCGAGATTGAAGATCTACTTTTTGACAAGTAGATAAATTGCCTTCTTCCTAATAAGTTGATAATAAAAATAATAATCAATTTATTTATTTACTTATTATTAACAATCTTAAGGATTAATTAAACATACTTCAAATCTTGGTACAGTAGTTTCACGGAAAGTAAAGCGAACCAAATAGCTGTTATCCTCCCTGCCAAGATCCTCCAAATTATCGTTTGAAGTATATCCTGCTTGTTCTAGCCATCTCTTTTGTAATTGTAATGGTCGTTCATGAGATCCTAGTATACGTTCTTAATAAGCCAGTAAAAGAATAATTAGTAATGCAAGGTTAATAATTTACCGAAATCATAAAATTCTAATTTACCTAAATTGTGCCTCATCACATATAAATTATATTTTGAAATATCTTGGATAAAAAATTTTTTACCAAGTATTTGGCATAATTCGGAAGTAGTAGTGTTCAATCCACAATTTACTGTGCCGAAGGTGGCATCAGGACGAAATATACGAATGCAAAACTTTTACGTGAAGAAAAGAGAAAAAAGGTTAATAAGATATTAACGTTTTATCATATAGAGATATAATGTAATATGCATACTAATTTTTTCCAATCATCCCTATCTTCAACATTAAGGTTATCATCTATCGGAATTTCATGAGCGTAAGGCAAATTTACTGCCCATGACTCAGGAGCCGTCCAATTTTCTGCTATGCTCGGTGGAAATTGTGTCCTTTCTATCGTTGGATTTTCTTGTGACAAGTCATCAAACGATTTAAAAGAAGGTACACCTGAGTGACGATTCTCAGTTTTTATGATATCTTTCATGTCACTAACGTCCACTAAATTAAAAAAAATCTATTAGAATACTTGTGAAGTTGTTATTTTGAAACAAATGAATAATTACAGTTTATCGGTTCGGATGGAGCAGGTTCCTTAAAAAATAAATCAGTAATAGAAATGTTTAGATTTAGAGGAATTTCTTAGGACTTCTAATCAATCTACGAATTTCATTTATACAAACACGAGAATACCTTCTGCTTTTTAGATGACTTTTTGTGTTTCATGCTCCTGTGATGATGTTTAGCTAAAGGATCGTCTCTTTGGTCGTGAGGTGAAAGATTTAGATAAGGCTCCGTATTTAAATTTTTACGAAGCACCCCTGCAAATTTATTTAATCGGAATTTTAATTTTTATAAAAAGATATAATTTTGACAAAATATATGCGTGTACGAAAAACTATATGCGCGTGAAAACATAACATTGAAAAATGATTATATACGCGCAAGCTATGACAAGGTATTATGGATATGTATGCGCATAAAAGAGATCACTCACGGATCGGACAAACAAACCTTCAGGCGCCGATGGCTCTTTTTCTTTGGAGCCTTTCCTGAAAAGATTAAATATAGTCTTTTTTTTTTCTTTTTCTTCCTTAACAGGTGCGCTGCTAGGTGTGATATTACTAATGGAAGATATCACACTAAGAGAATCGCTATCTGAGCTCTTTTTCCGTCGGTGTTCAGTAAGCGAAGTTATAGTTGAACTTTTTTCACTTTCTTCACATCGATTAACACTCTGATAGGCAAATGGGGCTATTTCTGGAGGGGGTAAATTTTCTGGAGGGGGTAAATATCGCGCACTCATATCATACTGAATGTAATCAAAGGATTTTCTCCTTGGCTCGTCTTCATGAGGTACAGTTAGTGCAGCAGCTTTTAAGTTGCCGGCCGAAAGTTTCCGTATATGGCCAGATTTTCCCTTAGATCTGGCTGGTAAACTATTCATAGACTGAGATCCAGAATCATGGCTTGGTGAAGCGGGTCGAGAACTTGACCCAAAAAAAAAAGAAGAAAAAAAAGAGTCTTTCTCTTCACGGGATTTTTTCCTTTTATTATTGCCCTCACCAGTGAGCGAGTGACCTGGTGGAGTAGGAGTACGATGCGGTAAGGGTGGTGTGACGTCCAATTCTGAAGATCGTCGAGGGGTCATAGATATTGTAAGCTACATACAAGCGACAAGAAGTATATTTTAATTTTTAATTTCTCAATGGACGATTCGTTTTTTTCCTAAACAGGCTGTGAAACACAAATGTATTACAAAATGCACGACTTCAAATATGGTTTAGCGAATCAATGATTATTATGAATATCGATATCTTTAGATTGGGATAGCTGAAGTTTTTATTGGCTGTACAGTATTTGCTTGTTTGTTATAAATTGGGATAACTAAAGTTTTTATTGGCTGCACAGTATTTGCTTGTTTGTTATAAACCTTCTTTTTCACATACAATTAGCCTATACTAACTAGAAAATGATTATTACTATGTAAATTTATTAAATTTGCATAAATTTTTATTTATCCTGATGGATCTTGGACAAAAATACCGTTCCTGATGGAGGTAAAGAAAAAAAATTTATTTGAGTACTGTTCCTGATGCAAAAATACCGTTCTAATAGGGTAAGCAACAAATATTGGTTCTAAAAAAAGGCTTTCAAAATCTATTACTATATAAAAAATGTTAGGATTAGTGTTCGTTTATCAGGAACTGGAGGTTGGAACCGGGTTTATTTAAGAAATTTATCCAATCAAATTTTAGTAAATTCTAAAATATCACAAAATTCATGTGATAAACCCGAATTATTAAAACCGGTTCCATCAGGAACGGTATTTTTGCGTTCTGATAGGGTTTAAAAACGAACCCTAATCTTAACTTTTTTCATATACTTCACTATAGTAACAATATTTTAGGTATTTTAGAGGTCATTTATTTTAGAACCCTATCAGAAATGGTATATACCGTATTGTCTCGAAATAACACCCCGGGATGTAGGTTAAAATTTGGCCCGAATTAAGCTTAATTCGGCCTAAATTAAGCTTACAGCTATTATCATAATTTCTGGGACACCTGCTCGTTACCCGAAATGTTTTTGGTCGTTCGGTAAATTACCTAACTCTCCGTAAATTACATCATTGCCTCCGGACTGAAGGTCCGAAGACAGCAATGAAGTTTCCGGAGAGTTAAGTAATTTACCAAATAACCAAAAAGATTTCGGGTAAGGTCACACCAAGTTAAAACTATGTTTACAGCTATTATCATAATTTCTGGGACACCTGTAAAAATTGGCCGAACGATTTTTCGGCCGATTCGGTTAAGTTTA